TCTAGATGTGCTACATACTTCATTGCTGAATATCACTAAGGTCACCTTCAAAGTACTCCCCTGGGGACCTAGCCCACCCTTCAAAGCAATTTTTTTAAATTATTACTTTTTAAAATTTCAGATTAATATGAGGGTACCAATGATTAAGTTACAATGTTTGCATTTGTTAGATAAGGTCCCTGTTGTGGTTATGTCCTGCACCCCAAAGGGATGCCATATACCCTTACATTATGCTCATTAAGAGGGAGTATGCCAATTCCCTCCCCGCCCCATCACCCACCCCCAACTTGAATTGAAATGAGTTTTTCTCCCATGTGGGCATGTATTAGATTGTCTACTGGCTTCCTATTATTACTGAGTCCACTGGATATTTGCTTTTCCATTTTTGTGATACTGTACTGAGAACAACGTGTTCCACCTCCAGCCAGGTTCATACAAAAGATGTAAAGTCTCCATCTCTTTTATGGCTGAATAGTAGTCCATGGTGTACATATTCACAGTTTGTTAATTCATTCCTGAATTGATGGGCACTTTAAGTTGTTGTCGTATCTTGGAGATTGTAAATTGAGCTGCAATAAACAATCCAGTGCAAATGTCCTTATGATAAAATGATTTTTTTTTCTTCTTGAAAGATGCCCAGTAATGGGATTGTGGGATCAAATAGGAGGTCTAGTTTGAGTTCTTTGAGGATTCTCCATATTTCTTTCCAAAGAGGCTGTCCCACCAGTAGTATAAAAGTGTTCCTTTCTCCCCACCCCCACACCAGCACCTGCAACTTTGGGACTTTGCGATGTGGCCCATTCTCCCTGGGGCTAGGGCACATCTCAAGGTGGTTTTGATTTGCATTTCTCTGATGATCAGGGACAATGAGCATTTTTTTCATGTGTTTGTTAGCCATTCATCTGTCTTCCTCAGAGACGGCTGTTTATCTTGTTCTCCATTTTTGTGATACTTTACAGAGAAAAATGTATTTCAACTCCATCCAGGTTAACACCAAAGATGTCAAGTCTCCACCATTTTTATGGCTGAAATACCACAGTTTATTAATCCATTCATAGGTTGATAGGCATTTGGGTTGTCGCCACATCAGAGCTGTGATAATAAAACCAGTGCAAATGTCCTTATGATAAAATGATTGCTTTTCTTCTGGGTAGATAGATGCCTAGTAATGGGATTGCTGCTTCAAATGAAAGGTCTATTTTGAGTTCCCTTCAATGCAATTCCGGAACTCTTCCTGGAATGGCCATCAAAGCTATTGTCACATTACCTTGGATGTTCTCAGTGTCATCAAATGTCTTCCTTTCAATATTTCCTTTATCTTTAGGTAAAAAAAGAAATCATTTGGGGCCGGATCAGGTGAGTAGGGAGGGTGTTTCAATGCAGTTATTTGTTTACTGGCTAAAAACTCCCTCACAGATAGTGCTATGTGAGCTGATGCATGGTTGGCCAAGATTTTACTGTTTCTCCATCAATGTTTACTTCTTCTGCTATGCTTCTCACACTCAGCTAATAATTTTGATATATAATTTGACAAATTTTTGCAGTGTTTTCATCAGTTGTGCTTGTTACTGGCCACCCTGACCTTTCTTCATCAGTGATGCTTTTTCTTCCCACAGAAAAAACATTTGCTCCATTTGTATACTACGGTTTTCTTCATGGCACTATCCCCATAAACCTGGACTAACATGTCCCTGATTTCACTTCCACTCTTGCCAAGTTTAACAAGAAATTTACAAATGTTTGTTCACTGCTCTAATTCAAGCTCCAACATTCTCACGAGGGCACACAAAAACATCCAGCAACAGTAATGAACACCACTCAGCAAGACACCACCGCACATCAATACAAACAGCTGTGACACTGGTATACCAAGGTCATGAACCTCACTGAGCTGTCTGTACAGTGCTGCCAACATAAGCACACAGTGGCAAGTTCATGAACTTAATGGTCAGATTCCTCTATGTTTTCGGTAGTCCTATTCATAATAGCAAAGATACAGAATCAACCTAAGTGTCTGTCACAAAGGATTTCATCAATAAATGTGGTGCATATACATAATGGAACACTATCCAGCCATAAAAAGAATGTAGTGAGGTCACCTGCAGCAACATGGCGGAACCAGAGGCCATTTTCTCAAACAACTCAAACACAGAAAGACAAAGACTGCATGTTCTCAACTCCTAAGTGGAAGTTAGTAAGATGCCCACATGGAAGCAGATTGGAAGGACGGACAGTGGAGACTCACAAGGGTGGGCGGTGGATGGCAAAGGTCGCATGGTGGGGACAGTGTGTGCTGCTCCCATGATGGATGCACTGAAGGCCGACATGACCACAGTGCAATGTGCCAATGTAGCTAAATGCACTCTATCAAAGTTAGAAATGTGCTATTAGCTTAAAAGATAAAAACAAAAATAATGGAAATGATGGCTGAGTCCAGGGTAACAGAACAACAAGCAGAATTATGCACAGGACACTTCACCCAAGGGAGAGATCACTGTCATCCCAAAGGCAGGGAGCACAACCAGGCCCCATAACTTGCCTGCAGCTACATGGGGGAAGGCAGCAGACCAGGACCCCACCTCAGGCTTCCCCTCCGAGTCTAAGTTCCTCTTGTTCCACCACACAGCATCCAGAGAGTGAAACTAGCCTGGCTCATGACGGCCCACCCAGCTCACGTTCCCTGTTAGCGGGTGAACAACCCGACACTTGGTGAGTTCTGCTTCACTATGATAGGGAGAGGTGACGCTGAAGGATGGGGAAGTGGCATGGCTATGAATGCTTGGCAGTTACGGGACAATTATCTCTGTGCTAACTTTTTTTTTTTTATTGTTGGGGAATCTTTGAGGGCACAAAGAAGCAGGTTACACTGCTTGCATGTGTTAGGTAAAGGCCCTCTCATAATTGTGTCCTGTGGCCAAGAGGTGGTGATTTTTCTGACACCTCCTGCTTAAAGTCCAAAAAGTCAGAAGGACTGTGAGGCCCTCTTTCACGGTCTGAGTCCATACCGAACATCAAGATCAAGTGAGCTTTTGCCCTTCTGGTCCACAGGAGGTGCCTTTCCCCCCTGAACTTGCTCTGGACACCTGCATTGCTGACTGACAGGTGTGCCACCCCAGGCAACTCCCCACCTGGCACTGTCCCTAGAGCCACTCCTAAAAGAACAGGTGTGCTTGGGCACTCAGCAAACACTGAGTGCCTGCCAGGTGGCAGGTGCTTTGCCAACCTCTAGGGACAGAGCTGTGGATAAACACAAAAGCAAACAGCCCCCGCCCCGTGGGGCGCACCTTCCAGTGTAGGGTGATGGACACTGACGAGCAGGTGCAGCAGTGACACAGACAGGTGGGGCAGGGGAGGCAGAGGGATCAGGAGAGCAGCCCTGCAGACACAGGAAGCAGCAAACACAAGCGCTGCCGCAGAGCGTGCCCAGCACATTAGAGGCACAGTTGTCACCGGCCACCTGGAGATGGTGTGGCCAGAGCACAGGGGAGCACAGGGACATCTGAGAGTGAATGGGGTCAGGTCTTAGGGCATCCGTAGCTGTTCTGAGGACTTTGCTTTTCCCTCTAGGCGAACAGAAAGAGCCACTGGGGAGTTTTAGGCTGAGAAGCGACACGACTCATGTGTCCAAAGGAACAGGACCAGGGCCCAGAAGGGTGGGTGCATGTCCTGGATAGTCACAGCAGGCAGTAGGAGTTGGTTGTTGACACACATTTTTAAGCGAGAAGTGATGGCATTTCACTGATAGACTTTGGGACAGCAGAAAAGGTTTCAAGGATGATGCTGCGGGCTCTATCCTAAGTAACAATAAGGATGGAGCTGCTCTTTACTTAAATGGGAAGATTCAGGGGAAGCGGGTCTGGGGGGTGAAGAGATGGAGAAGAAGCACTCAGGTTACACTGGAGACGACTTTTAGACATCCAAGGGGCAATGTTGCAGAGGCAGCTGGAGGATGCGGCTAGAGATGCAAATTTGAACACTGCCCACGTATTGTATTAAAAGCCAGGTAAAGGGCAGCGCCTGTGGCTCACAAGGGTAGGGTGCTGGCCCCAGATGCTGGAGGTGGCGGGTTCAAACCCAGCCCTGGCCAAAATAAGTAAATAAATAAAAGCCAGGTGAATGAACAGACACTGCCATCTTAAACAGTGTTTCTCAATGAGGGCAGTGCTGTCCCTCAGGGTGTGTACTGGAAACCAAGGGCACAGTTTTGGTTGTCACTATGACTGGATGTGCTACCGATGTTTAATGGGTAAGGAAATTTTGACATTCTATAATGTACATGACAAATTTGCAAAAAGAACTGTCCTACCATGGAGCTGTCACCTCCATGTGCTCTAAGAGCTCCCCAGTCCCTCAGCATGGCTATGTAGGGCATCTGCAGGTGGAAATGCACGTTATTAATATCTTCCTTTTTATATTAGAGTTAGGATATTGATTTTCAAAGGATGCACGCAGTAGGTGATACCATCTGTGAATTTCATCTCAGGGTAACAAAGGCGGTATCAGGTGTGTGGTGAGAGTCTCTGATGTAGAGAATGAAAGTAGCTAGAGAAGAGGAGAGGTTACGGACTGTGCCCAGGCCTACCTAATGCTGGAGGTCAAGGGGACGAGGAGGAGGGAGAAGGAGAGAAGAGAAGAAGGTATTCTCTGACGGAGGGCGGGACCTGGCCAAGCAAGAGGAGGGTGGAGGATGGCAGCTGGGCTGGTCAGAGGTGAACTTGACCCCACGGGGGGTGCTAGGGCAAAACTGCCTATAGTGTCCGTGTAATTCAGGGTAGAGAACGTTAACTACTATGTTGGACACTTTCCAGGTCTCCAGAGAGCCCCCCCAGCACCCACTCCCCACTCCCTTAGGTCCAGGTCCAGGTTGCTGGCTGTCCTGGGATCCTCGTCCCCTATCCCAAGAGGCCACTGTCCTGCTTACTGCCGTCTCCAGTCCTCCGGACCGAGGGCACTGGGGGCGCCCTGCCCCTGCCCCTGCCCCCACGCATTCAGGTCCATACCTTGCTGAGTTGGGACGCAACAGCCAAGGAGGTTGAAGATTTAGAACTCTTCATGCCCACAGACACCACGGGGAGGGGCCGCACACGGTCCAGGCCATGGCTCCCTGCTTTGGTGGCTGGACTCCAGGGCTTGGTTGCACTCCGCATGTCTGTCCTTGTGGCTCTATCCTTCTGTAGAAAGCAGAGAAGAAAAACACGTGTCTCTATTATCTGAACCCAGTAAGGGATGCCATAGAGCCCTACCTCATGCACTGCACTCGCCGTCACCAGCACAGAGAAGGAGCACTTCCCTCTCTGCAGAAAGAGAATACCCTGTTCCTGAAAGAGACTTCGACTGGGCTAACTGCACAACTGCACCCAACGTGCTGAGACACATCTTCAACGCTACTGATGTTCTGACTTCAGGCCTTCTCAGTCAGAATTCAAAGATCTACTAAACTCCTCTCTTAACCTCTGGCACTAAATCTGACAACCCTCTCGACACAGCACCTGACAAACGTCCCACCTCTTTTTTTTTTGGCCAGGGCTGGGTTTGAACCCTCCACCTCTGGCATATGGGGCCGGCACCCTACTCCTTTGAGCCACAGGTGCCGCCCCATGTCTGACCTTTAAGGACGCATGTTCCTTGCTCAGAGGCAGCATTCTCCAGGTTACTTCATTTGCTCAGTCAGGCCTCTTTATTCTCCCAGCACCTTCTGAATCCAATCAGATGAATCCCACATGAATGTACCTAGAGAACCCGTCTCACCTGGCCCCTGCCTGCTTCCCACATGACCTTTTCTGAGCATCCTGCCCTCTTCACGCCTGCTGTTGTTTTTCTCAGACGAAACCTTTCACTTTGTACTCATCCACCAGGGGAAGCACAATGCCAGCCTCCTCTCAGCAGGGACCCCTCAGACACACTCCCGGGGTGTGTTACTCACTGGGCACAGGACCTCACACCCACACCCTCTCTCCATGCATGCATGCATACATACATACAGTACAGAGTTCTAACACCCAGCTTGAGTTGAGGTATAAAATATCCACAAGCTTTGCAGCTTGACGATTGACAAAGAAAAAAATCTACCAAATTTTTAAATAATAATTCATAAATGGATTACTTGAAAATCAAATTTCTTAGAAGCACAAGACAATTTTTTTCTTCTTTTGGATAAAAATGGGTATTGTTTAAAAATTAATAAAGCCTATGTGGATTGGTTGGACCTAACATTACAGGGCAGAATGATGGCCCTAACTACACGATTTAATGAAAGACAAACTGCTCCCACTAGCAGGATGCCGCTGAAGAGCTAAGGGGAGAAGCCGGGCCTGGAGAGCTGTCACAGTCACGCTGGGGAGGCCAGGCCCATCCCTCGCCTCTGCTCCTTCCAGCAGTAACATAACAGGACTGGATTAAACACCCTCTGGGGTCTTGTCCAGCTCCAACCCAGACTCTGCCACTTCCCAGGGACTCAAATGGCTGTGGGATGACCAGGGCACCAAACCCACAATGCTCCATCCTTTCAAACAATACCAAAAATGCACTTTGAAAAACACCCATGGGTGACAACCAATTCTAGCAGCACTGTCACAAGGGTCTGAGTAGCTGTCCCTGGGGATGGTAGCTGGTATGAAGCATCCCTGGCTGCGTCCCCTGAACCACCCATGAGGAAAGCAGACAGCCTCTGCAGCCTCACTCAGCCTTCGACCCCCTTCCCTTCTCGTCTCCTTTCTGGCTGGAGGAGACTTCTGCTTCTGACGATGTCTCTCAGCAAGGGCCACCCAGTTCTTATTCCCATTTAAACAAGGTGACTGGCTAGCGACACGTGGGCAGGCACTGACCTGGAGCCCACTCTGCAGCTATGTGAAGGCAGCTACCAGTGAAAACATTTCTTTAAAGACTTTGTAATTTGTTTGCCTCAGTGTTTCTGAGAAAAAATATTCATGATTTCATTTATAGGACTGGTTCAGAACCTTAAAAGGTTCCAAGTATTATGATTCCTTTTTAATTCTGTATTTGAAGAACTTATTTTATTGATGCTTAGCACCAATTATTTTTCCTTCTCAACCTACAATTTTTATTGCTGGTTTCTATAGCAACAATGAAGAATGCCTAGGTTAAGACCTACACAGTAACTAGTTTCATTAGGACTCCCTCCAATATCAAACGAACTAACAGAGCCTGAGTGACTCTTGAGGAGAATTACTGATTAATTTTACCAATTACTACAGCAGCTACCAACCAGTAATGCTTCAGTCTGACTCACGCAGACTTAAATAAAATCTGTTTAATCAATGCACCCTTTTACGTTAGGATTAAAACTGCTTAGAAATGACTATTACAGAGTTTATGAAAACATAAGACTTGGCAATGGGTCTACATTTTACAAAATCTTCCCAGGTTACCCCTGGAATGAAGAGCCTTTTATTTACTCCCCATCAAAAGATAAACATATGTAGATAAAAAGCAGCCGGAAGAGGATGGAAATTTTCCTGGCCAATCTAAATCTAAGTCCTTGGCAGAAAGAAAGAAAGAAAAAGAGGAAGGAAGGAAGGAAGGGAGGGAGGAATGAGAGGGAAGAAGGGAGGGAGGCAGGGTGGAGGAGTGGGGGAGAGAGGGGGAGAGAGAGGGAGAGAGGGGGGAGAGGGG